GTACGTATAGTAATATTTATTGTATTATACAAAATATAAATATTAAGTTAATAAAAATATTTGCGAAATATCTCAAGATCATAAAGAACCTTACACTGTCTGTGGAACATGTAGTTGATAATTTTAATGGTAAGTATTTTTAATATCAATTTTCATTTCCGTTTATTTATTTTTTATGATTATTATCATTATTAGCATTATTATCGTTATTATTATCATTAGCTTTGTTATTGTTGTATTATATTCAATACATATTGCCAAATTTGAATATTTACATGTGTTTTTAGAACCTACCTTCTTATCTTATCTTATTTTATTATTAAATTTAACCAGCAGCGTATAAAGAAAATCACCCGGTATAATAATTAAAATTAAATAAAAAAATTATTTGCTTTAGATATTACCTACAGCATACCAAATTTTAAACTTGTATTTTAAAATTTATATTTTTTTAACATACGGTTACTGTATAATTTTAATACTCTGTATCTCAGAACTACTAAATAAAAATACTAAAATACTCCAATTTGAATGCTGATTAGTGAAAATGAAATTTTTTGATATTTTCCAAATTAAATTAACCAAAAAGTTTCCACCCCGGTTTTCTTCTTCACTTTAAATTAAAAATGAGTGATACGTCATTTAAAAGGCATTTTAAATCTCTACATTTTGGCGTATTAGTTTTTAAAATCGGTTAGTTTGTTCCTGAGATATTTAAGACAAAAATAAATTAAAAAAGAAATTTTTTTTTGTAATATCTTGAAAACAAACAAACCGATTAAAAACTATTACGTCAAAATAAAGGGATTTAAAATGCCCTCAAAATTATACGATACCTGTATTAGTTTTAAAATGGTGGTACGTTATTTGAGAAAAACTTAATTTTTTAATTTATTAATTATACACCATTATATATTCACAAGAATGATTTTATAAAATCACGTACTTTTAAACCACACTTAATTAAAGTAATAATTTGTGCAAACCAACCGATTTTAAAAATGAATACGCCAAAATTTTAAGGGAAGAAGAAAAAATAATTTGATGAAGTAGGTACGCAAAATAAATAAAGTTAATTTTTTTAAAGGAAATACTCAAATTTTCTTTGCTGTCGAAACTATATTCGTCTACAGGATTTTCTGCGTTTCTTTGGATGGGGATCAGGGGCGTAGCTTCCACGGTATCAGCCGTATCAATGATACGGGGCCCCCGTATAGGGGGGCCCCCGATTGGCTTCGACATGCGTAAGCAAAAAATATATTACCCACATGTTAAAAAAACTGAGGGATCAAATTAAATAAATAAATAATATTTTTATTAAATTGTTTATTCTTCGATTTATTAAATTAAAATTTTACTGAATACCCTCATGTTCCAACGAGGCCGTTAACTCATACAAAATGTTTCTTTCCGCACCTTTCCGCTATGCGTTGTCTACGGCGCAGGGTGTTATTATCATAGGTTAAATTAATAGAATAATTATTAGCGTTACAATTGTTTCAAATGACTTTCCTTTATTTTAAAATAGAAACCTTTTAAAAGATGTTAAAGAACGGTAAATGTCTTTAACCAGATCAAATTTTAAAATTTACCTGTTCATAAAAAGCTATGTACCTATACATGGGTGAATATATTGAGATGTCCCCCAATTGAAAATGATTATTTTTTATTTTTGGTTGTTTCACTGTTAGTCTAGAATGGGGTTTTTGGAAGCCACCAGGTCTAGTAATAACATAACCTAAGTGGTTCTGCACTAATGCAAGAATTTTAAGAAATCATACATTTTGAATATTAGAGCTTCACGGAAGATATCTTCACGGAGGTTAGGATTTCGTATGTTTTTTTTAACCTTTGTATATTTAAAATAAGTTATTGTATCTTTTGACACCTTAATATTTTTTTAAAATACAGTGGTACATACATAAAATATTTATAAAAAAATCTACTTACTGAGATATTACACTTCACGGTGGATAGGTTTTTTAAATAGCAAATTAATAAACTTAAACTTTTGAATTATAAAACAGCAACACTCTCATCTGCATATAAATTCTAACTGACCTTCAGGAATCACATGCATCTCTAATGTCGTAAATAGAGGTTTTTGCTTATTTAAAATGATTAAAGCGCCATCCGTTGCATAAAATTTAAAACAAAAACAGATTCACGGAGGAGAGAATCATTTTTGTAACTCCTACATAAGTGGATATAAAAATTATTTCTTTTAATTTTTAATGATATTTTATATTCGATTCGATTGCTTTGAATGTGTTTAATTTACTTAGTGAACTGATATTTTTAGTATGCTTTTACTACCTCAGATATTTGAAAACATATAGGTTAACCTAGAAAGACGAACAGTCACGGAGGATATGTTTTAGACATTGTAAAAAATAATTAATTGCGGTTAAAAATCTGGATCCTGAGCTGTAATATCTACTTAATTATGAAATATCAAAACACAATAAAAGTGTAGGTCAAACTCATCGGGGGACATTTCGTGAAATTTACCCACATATATTATTTATTGAATTATAAAGATTGGTAAATGCAAAAAAATGATACCCTAAAATTTTTTTTGCCAGCACCTTTTCCGGTAAAAGGGCCCCTACCAGATTTTTGATACAAGGCCCCCTTGAGGCTAGCTACGCCACTATACCTAAAAATTAACTTTGCTTTAAAAGAAATAATAGTAAATAAAAAAACTAACCTAACCAAACATGCCTCCTTACCTGTATTTTGATTTTTCCCTAATATTGCCATTTGAGCAATTAATTTGCTTCCTGCCGATATTTTCACACCACACAAACAATTTCGCTATCTTCTCTATTTACAGGCAATGAGTAGAATCCCGGATTAGTATATTATTTTTACGTACTTTCGACCTACGCCACGAGTCCCTACCATTTGGCAACATTGCTGGGTCTCGGGACGTTGGTTGAATATGGTTAGGCAGTATAAACGGGCGCGAAAAGTCGGTAAAATGATGCGGGTTTAAAAAGTGTTATTCAGTTTGCAACTTTTTTTGTAAAAAGAAAATGTTTCCCCTTGAAGCATGCTTATTGAGTTATATTCTTTAAAAGCTTATTTACGGTTTATATACTCGCCTAAATTACCTGGATCAAGTGGGTCTTAGGTAGCCTGTATAGTGTACCGGGACTGAAAACGTGGACCGGATAGATATATATATATATATATATATATATATATATATATATATATATATATATATATGTACGAGGTGTGTTCAGAAAATAACGGGAATTGTTAAATTTCGCGGGTTCGGAGGGTCCCGTTGTCATCAAATTTTCTTTATTATGTTGGTATACATGCTCCCGAAGTATGATAAAAACTTTAGCTGTTTTGATTCTTTACTTTGTCTGTGGCAGCCGCTAAGGTTAGACGTGTTTTATGAGCTCGGCGATTTTTCGTTCGTTAAAAGAAATGGATCAAAGAATTTGTATCCAATTTCGCTTAAAAAATCAAATTTATTCTGTGAAATGTTAACAAAGGCCTATAGTGAGTCTGCTATAAGTAAAACAAGAGTTTACAAGTGGTATAAGAGTTTCCAAGATGGCCGTGAAGACGTTGAAGATGACGAACGCCCCGAACGCACAAGCACATTAACAACCGATAAAAACATGGAAAAAGTGGAAGAAATGGTTATAAACCATCAGAAAAGTCGCTGATGATGTTGGTATATCGATTGGCTCATCCCATGAAATTTTTTCGAATGTTTTGGGTATGAAACGCGTGGCAGCAAAATTTGTTCTAAAATTGTTAAATTTTGAACAACATTTTTGGCCAAAAACAATACTGTAATGATGCCCCAGCCTCCATATTCGCCAGACATGCCTCTGTCTGACTTTTTCCTATTCCAAAAATAAAGAGAACTTTAAAGGGCCGTCGCGACGCGTCGTTTTGAAAGCACAGATGACATTAAAAGCGCATTGCTGAAAGTACTAAAGGCTATCCCAAAGATCGAGTTTTAGAAGTGTTTGGAGTATTGAAAGAAGAGCTGGCACATGTGCATAATATCCAATGGGGACTATTTTGAATGCGGTAACATTAATGTAGACGAATAAATAAATATTTGTTTCAAAAAACGAAAATTCCCTATATTTTCTGAACACACCTCTATACATATATATAATTAAACATATTATGTTTAAATAGGGAATGGACTATTTTTTTTTAACTTTTTAATGCGTTAAAGCGCAGAAGTTTGTTATCCGTCATCTGTCTGTTAAGCAATACTTTGACATCTGTCAATCTGTCATCTGACAGATAATTCCAAAACAATTTCCATCCCAATATTAAACTTTAATGAAGCAAAAGAATCAAGCTTTCCAATGAGCTTAATTTTTTTTATTTTTAATGCATTTTTTTAATTCTGTCATCTGACAGATAATTCCAAAACAATTTCCATCCCAATATTAAACTTTAATGAAGCAAAAGAATCAAGATTTCCAATGAGCTTAATTTTTTTTATTTTTAATGCATTTTTTTAATTCAAAAATAATTCAATTTCTTTTTTAAGTTGTTAAAGGAAAACTGTGAATTTTGCACCCTGTATTGTGATGAGCAAAGGTAATGAAGCAAATTTTTTTACAGGATTAATAGTTATTAACTATAGTTTGACAAAAACATTTTTTGTGAAATTTTGCCCCATATGCGAAATTTTATGGGGCCTTTAAGACGTATTAAGAAAAATATAAGGTAAAATGTGTATACAAAAAGAAATAGATTCCTGTTTCTTTTTGGACCCAATTAGGTACTTTTAGTATAAACTAAGCGTGAATAAAGACAAAAACGCTCTCAAAACACGAACTTCATTACCACCATCGGTCTAAAGCATAAAGTTAACCATAAATCGAGTCATTAAGTCCAGTGTCTTAAAACTAGCCAAATAAGCGATTAAGTTTAATGCAAATGGAAGTTTATCGTCTGACTACTTTTCCGAAGAAATATGCAAAAGAGTTAAATAAAAATTAGCTTACGGTCTTGATTGGGGCGTCCTGTCCCTTTGTCGTCTGTTCTTAAACCAGTTCGATACTTGCGTGAGGGTTAATCCCGTTCTTTTAGCCAGGGCCCTCTTCTCGTCCGGGGTTGGATACCTGTTTCGCGCGTAGCACTCCTTCAGGGCGTTTCTGCTGCGCTCCTTGAAGCAGTACACTGTCTCTTCGCCGTCCCATATTGTTTTTGGCAGGGGGTACTTTTTGCGTAGACGGTATTTGTCGACGGCACCTAAAAATAAAACAAATCGGTTTTAATATTAACAGGGTTTGTAGCGACCGGGAAAACCGGGAAATCCGGAAAAAGTCAGGGAATATAAAATGAGTCTAAAAAGTCATGGAAAAGTCAGGGAATTTAAAGAAAAAACGAAAAGTCAGGGAATTATCTGTAAATAATACTAATACTTAAAATAATAATAATAATATAAAAGAAAATAATATTTACTTAATACCTACACAATCTACATTATGATTTAATACATTATGATGAAATGCTTGGGCAATTTTAATGTAACTACCTAATCGTGTAACTGTCAGTTTGTCTTTGACAAAAGTCAAAGTAACATTACAAGTCTTTCTCGTAATTGTGAAAAATTGTTTAATAACGGAAATCAAGGTTCTGGAAAACAAAAAACAAAAATTAACTGAAGGAACCAACCATAAAGTTGACAGTATCAATAGACGTCTACAAATATTGAGAGAAAAAGTTTAAAATAGTTATTTGACTTATTTTTGTATTTTGTTTTGTTTTTATTTACGAGAAATATGCACTATGTTTTGTTATAACTATTAAGTTAAATTTTAAAAGATCTAAAAATGTTTTGTATTTGAGTTACATATGTGACCTGGACTACGGAAAGCTACCTATGGTTAGAAATCAAGTTTTCTAGAAAACAGCTGTTAAAGATAACAAGTACTGTCCGTGCGTCGCGTTTGTATTTGCACTTCTACCTTTTCTTTTTTCGTCTTACCCTTGGCTCTCCACCTCTCTTTAGACTTTCATTATACAGTGGTGCTTTAACAATAAATATTTTTGTACCTTATTCAAGTAATTTCCCCTAAATAGCTAAATTTGTGAACGTTGAAAAAGTTGGAATAATACGTGCTGCTATTCTTATCATTGTATTTTCGTGGTTTTTCGTTGTTATGCAGCTAATTTAAAGTTGTTTTAGTTTGTGTAAGTGCATAATGGATTTAGAAAAAGATTTTAAAGCAGTGGAGAAACAATGTTTTGCGGATTCTGATGAAGATTACGAAGATCAAGGTGGAGGTGCAGGTGTTAGTGACATAGAAGATGACGTTGTACCAGATTCGTCTTTTGATATGTCTCTTCAGGATATTGACAAAAATAAAAGATCAAAAAAAGCAATTCTTGATCTATTTAAAAAAAAAATTGCGATTTTTATAATTCATGTTGAACTTTAAGGATGATTTCCAGCAAAAGTTTCAAACTGCGGTATGTTGCATTAAAAAATACGTTAAATTTTTTATAAATTTCGATCAAAAAACAAAAATTGATTCTTCCGACCAGGTACCTTTCTATAGTCCAGGTCACATATAATATGAAATATGCTATATGTATTTATTTTTGTTTTTATGGTCTGTTATTAAAGCTGCAAAGTATAAATTCTATTTTTATTTTTTTCCTATTTGCCTGAATATAGCTAGACGTATTCTTGGCTAAATTAAAGGTAAATACGAGCCTTTAAGGCAAGTATAGATTTGAAGGGGTAAATTATTTAAACACAACGTAGACCGGGTTCTTTCCATAACAGAAATTGGATAGATATATATCAATATCAATATCAATTTTTGACACCTTCCACAGTCTATCGAAAAAGCTTGAGAAAGTTCTGGAAAACCTGGAAACGTCAGGGAATTTTATACGAATTCAATAGTATGAACCCTTAATTTAATATTATTTGATTTGTCCTAAACTTTACTTTTGTAAAACCTTAGTAGGTATTCAGAATACTTTTAATATTTCCACACAATGTCAAAATTTGATGACCAAGTGCACTTTACATGTAAAACTTGAAAAAATGATAAAAACAACAAAAATATTATTTAAAAAAAAAGTATTATGTATCAAGTTTTATAAACGCCATTTTAGTCACGAATTTAATTGAGCTTGCGAGCGAGTGTTTAATTAAATGAGTGCCTAGAAAAGTTTATAAACGAGTTGCACACTATGCTTTTTCTACGACAAATATATTTATACTTAAGTATACTTAATATTATCTAAAAAATTATTTAAATTAAATATACGAAAATAAAGTAACCATCCCTATAAACATTTTTGACCTAATTTTCACCTTTAACATGGCCCGTTATTATTTTAATAAGGTACAAAAAGTGGAATCAAAATTTATCCCTTGAAAATAGACTAACAATCGATATAGAAGCAGTTTTAAAAAGTAAAAGAGAAGATAATGTTTTATGGGCACTGTACGCAAATTTTTTAACGCTCTATTAAATACTTTTGTATTTTTGTATTAAGATAATCAAATAATTTTTACATTTATTTTATCGATTGTATGACATTTTACAACTGTCAACTAACTTAATACCCCGTGACTAAAAACCTGTTGCTTACTTCAGCCCGTGACTAAAACGCCGTAAAGCCACAACTTGTCAATGTGTATTTAAAAGATCACTTTTTTTGGAAAGAACGTTGCCAATTTAAAAAATTTCTTATCTAAAACAAGATACAACTTTGCCTATTTCGGTTGTACCTAATTTTAAAATTTTTGCAACCTTAAATCTCATCTCTACTTATTCATATTTTTATAACCCCATTTTCCTAAAAAAAAGCTCACAAAAATAATTTGAAAAATTCATTAAAACTTATGTTTTATGGAAAAACCGCAAATAGAAAACTGTCTAAAAAATGATAAATTTGAAAAAAAACTTACTTTTAACAAAGTAGATAATCTTAAAAAAAGCATTAAAATTTAATTTAAAATTTATGAAAAGCAGAGTAAAAAAATATATTTATTAAAAAGTTAATCTAAAAATTATACTCTTAGCACTTTTAAGGTGCGTTTCACGAAATTTTACAAGTAATTATTAAGTGAGAAAGAGTTATTATAACTATACTATAATAGTATAAGAGAGAGAGAGTATTTATTGCAAGAGAAAAATCTAGCCATCCTTGTTTCACTTAACGGCCATTCCAAGCCCATGGACAGGACACATCAGAAACATGTCTAAATATATTCTTGTTACTTCCTTAAGTTTACTTATTTTTTCTACGAGTATTTATGAGAAGTATTACCCAAATTTGGCTAATACTTCTCATAAATACTGGTAGAAAAAATAAGTAAACTTAAGGAAGTAATAAGAATATATTTAGACATGTTTCTGATGTGTCCTGTCCATGGGCTTGGAATTGCCGTTAACACATTAAGTCATTTTTACTTTATTTAAGGTAATGTTAACCATTATTAATCACTTATTAATAGGTACTTTATATAAAAATCATAACGTATTTTTTTAGATTTTATCAGGAAATTTAGAGGCAAATAATTATTACCTATATTATTATTTTAATAAATGTTTGACGCACTTACTTAGAGGACCATTTAGTCCTAAATTATAAATATGCCTTAAATGTGTTTATATTATGGAACGAACTTCATAAAAATTGCTTTCAAGTCTTTAAATATCATTAAAAAGGGGGCAAGAAACTTGCACTTTTCCTTAGTCAATAAAAAAAGTATAAATCTTATTATACATGCACACATAATTTTTATTAATATATTTTTTGCTATTACGATTTTTCTTACCTAGTGGTCTTCCTCGAACCTTCTCGGCCTCTTTGTAATGAGCCTTGAACCAAAGCGTCTGCAGCTCGCCGTGCCAGCGGGGGTGAAAGGAGTGCGACTCCAGAATGGAGTAGAGCTCGTGGTAGGAACCTCTGTGGAAGGCGACGGCTGATCTGGCGCGAAGGATGCTCTCGTTGCCGCGAAGAAGTTCCGACGGCGGAAGGGACCACAGAAAAGCGGCCAGACGTTCGATGTCGCCTCTTTGGTGGAGGGCCTCGCACATGCATTGAACCTAAGTAAAGATGATTTATTGATGATGTGTAGGAAAAACTATTGGTACTTTTAAACAAAATTACAATTTTTATTCGTAAAAAATTATGTTGACAACAAAATGAATATTCTTGTCTATAATGCATAATATGTTATGTTTATCAGTCATTTTAGAAAAACGTCGTTGTGAAATTAGATGTTAATAAATGAATAAACTTTTTTAACAGATATACCACTTTACAAAAAATACACTAAATAATTATATTAGGATTGGCAATTGGTAATCATTTTTTAATTTTCTTTTTTAAATATTTCCAATGGGAAATTAAAACAATCAAAACCAAGTTTGTTTGCATCATAGCCCATTCTGTTTATTGGCTTGAATTTAGCATATTCGGTTCTGTTTGTTATTTTAGAAAAATAGATGTTTATGTTTATGTTTATGTTTATGTTTATGTTTATGTTTATGTTTATGTTTATGTTTATGTTTATGTTTATGTTTATGTTTATGTTTATGTTTATGTTTATGTTTATGTTTATGTTTATGTTTATGTTTATGTTTATGTTTATGTTTATGTTTATGTTTATGTTTATGTTTATGTTTATGTTTATGTTTATGTTTATGTTTATGTTTATGTTTATGTTTATGTTTATGTTTATGTTTATGTTTATGTTTATGTTTATGTTTATGTTTATGTTTATGTTTATGTTTATGTTTATGTTTATGTTTATGTTTATGTTTATGTTTATGTTTATGTTTATGTTTATGTTTATGTTTATGTTTATGTTTATGTTTATGTTTATGTTTATGTTTATGTTTATGTTTATGTTTATGTTTATGTTTATGTTTATGTTTATGTTTATGTTTATGTTTATGTTTATGTTTATGTTTATGTTTATGTTTATGTTTATGTTTATGTTTATGTTTATGTTTATGTTTATGTTTATGTTTATGTTTATGTTTATGTTTATGTTTATGTTTATGTTTATGTTTATGTTTATGTTTTAAAAAGAACATAATAATTTGGTAAAAATAAAAAATTATCTGAAAAATTATAAAAATGCTTTAATGTTTAACTTGTTTTTTAATGGAACAGGCAATATATTTTTAGATATTTAAATTGGAATACCAATTTATACATTCTATATACGTATTTTTTTTAAATCGGTTATTACATATACAGGGTGTCCCGAAAATAGAGTGCAATAATCTACAAGCGATTTCTAGGACCAATAATATGAAGCAAACTTTTTAAACACAAGTCTGCAAATGGCCCATTGTTATTTTCGAAACGGTTTAGGGTAAAATATTGTATTTTTTGAACACATATTTTTTTATTAATATTTCTGGTTAAATTTATTAAATTGGAAGAGAAAAAAAAGGTTTGTTTTTTTTATTTTTATTCGAATATATTGCATTTTATCGATGTTTAACAAGAGTACCTTTTTTACGTAGAAAACTCGTAATATTAATATTATTTAACTTTAAAAAAAATTGCGCACAAAAATGTTGGGACTAAAAATAACCTAGGCGGCCACTGTTTAATATAAATTTAAATACAAATATTTGTTTTAATTTTTAAATTTAGCACAAAAGTTAAGAGCATAAAAAACTTTATTATTTTATCTCAAACCGTTTTAGAAATATTAATAAAAAAAACATATTCAGGGGCGCCTCTTTAAAAGGCTGTAGCTCTCTTAGGAGCCATTTGCCATTGCCATTATGATTATGGAAAGTTTTTTTACTATTTGACTATTAAGACCCTGTAAATATTATTTAATAGATTTTTTAATTAGATTTATAATAAATAATTCTTTTGTACATGAGCTTTAAAAAATATATATACCTAAATAAAATTTGTAAACAGAAATCTTCACCAAATATAAAATTTACGATTTTTGTGATCTCATGTGCATTTAGGAATTATAATATTGTTTACTAAGCGTGGAATTAGCAATTACTCCCGATGATAAAAGTTTCCGAGCGAGCCGATAGGGAAGTGAAGGAATTCATTGAGGGATTAATTGCGATTCCACGCGAGGTAAACACTTTTTTGTCGAGTAAAATCGCATACATAATTTCAAAATTAAAATCTGTTAAATCTGTTGTGTGGATTGTGACTAATTCATTTTAATTATATCTTAAAATTAAAGCTTTAAAGTACACAAGTTCATATAAACTTTTCTGCTTATTTTCTATAAATAAAATCGGTATAAGAAAATTTGCGAAAGTGGCGAATGCGCCGGGTTATAATAGATACCTACACAGTTTAACACGATTTTCCTCCCATGAAAAATTTTAACAGATTTTTAATTCTTCTTTTTGTTTGCAAATCATTTTGTTTTCAAATATTGTATGTTTTTACATAATATAAAAATTATACTTAAAGAAAATAATAATTTATATTTTTAATTTTTGATTTTTTTTAATAAAACACAGATTTGTATTTATCTTATATTGAATGAATGTTGGAAAAAATCTTGAGCTTTTAGTTTAAAGATTATACATTGCTATAGTGGTATCACAACCTAAAAAAACACTTGATATACAGGGTGTTTCACATTCGTGGTCTATTGGAAGTTTCAGGGGAACGGAAAAAGATATCTATTTGAAATTTTAAAAGCCTTTATAATATAATTAAATCTATTTTTCTAAATTATTTTGAACAAAATGCCACTTCCGGTTTAACCGGAAGTGACATCAACTTTTTTATTTCAAACATAACAATTTTACATAAAATATTGAGTAAACTTACTATTATAGAATAATACCATGTACTAAACATAAACTGAACAGTTTTCGAGTTATTAATTTTTTTTGTTAAAATTTGACAAATGCGCGTCAATTAAAACCAGCCTATAACTTTTTTTGCTATTGGGTTTGCGGATATGGGAATGGATGTTTTAGAATCTTATTTCAATTTTTTAACATGTTTCAACAATTTTTCAGGTTGTTATAAATAAACAATTTGTTGACTAATTAAGTGTTTTGTAAACAATAGTATATTATGTATCAAGTTTGATAAACGCTATTTTATACACGAATTTAATTTAGGCACGAGCGAGCTTGCGAGGGAGTTCTTAAATTAATGAGTGTATAGAAAAGTTTATAAACGAGGTGCATACTATACTTTTTCTACGACAAATACTTATTATTATCTTAAAATGATTTAAATCAAAAATTTGTATAGAGCGCCATCTATGAAACAACTGGGGAAACTGTCAAATGTCACATTTTTACATTTTATAAACACAATTATAAAGGTTATAAATCGAAATGTATATTGAAAATTGACAGTTTTTCACAGAGAAAGTAAAGGAAATGTTTTATGAGGACTTTACAGTAGAGTCCGTGCCCGAATTTAAGTTATAGTTTACTGCCGGCGAAATTAAAAGGTCAGTACAATGTTCATATAAACTTTTCAAATATTGGCGTTAAGAAACTATTTAATATTTTTGTATTTTTGTATTGAGATAATAAAAAAATTTTTACATTTAAGTAGTATTATTTTACAAGAAAGGCACTTTATTTTAACGATTGTATGACATTTGAAAACTGTCAACTAACTTAAAACTAACTTCAGCCCGTGACTAAAAACCTGTTGCTAACTTCAGCCCGTGACTAAACGCCGTAAAGCCACAACTTGTCAATGTGTATTTAAAAGGTCACTTAGTGTCATGGAAACATGTACGATAAAGGGCGTTTTAAAGGTGGGAGTAGAAAAAATTTCTAACGTTGCTCTTGACTATTATCTAATATTAGAAATTTTCAAATATCTCTGAAATTATTAAATTTAGGTATAGGGAATAGTTACATCAATCGAAATGTTTTTTAATTTTTTATTTGATCATGTAAAAATATACAGGGTGTTACTTTTAAAATAAAAAGTTATTAGCGTTTTAAGTAGCCTAATTTGCCCTGGATTTTCTTGGGTAATTTGATGAAAAAGTTATAGGCTATTATAGGCTTTTAATTGACGCGCATTTGTCAAATTTTAAAGAATAAAATTAATATGTAACTCAAAATTAAATTAATTAATTTTAGGTAGAATTTAAAAATATAAAAAATATGGGGTGTTCTATTTGAAATAACAAAGTTATAAAGGCTTCTAAACTTTAAATGGATATCTTTTTCCGTTCCCCAGAAACTTCCAATAGACCACGATATAATTGGCTTAATTGCGCTTTAAAATTTTTAAATCGATTTTTTTTTGCCGTTCCCCAGAAACTTTCAATGGACCACGAACGTGAAACACCAAGTATTTCGTAAATGTGCAACACCCTGTATATAATTAAAATAATTTTAAAATGTATCTTTAATGGTTGTCCATTTATTCCTTTGACTGACCCTTGATACTAAACATTCACTAACCTGATCAGGAGAGAAACTAACAGCCTTTTTGCCAAAAGAATCCACATTATGCAAATGAATAACATTATCCAAATTCTTCTTGTTATTATAATAATCCAACTGATTTTTCCTCACATCAAAACAATCGTCCTTCTTTGCGTAACTGTCGTTAAAAATTAACCCTCGCTTACTTATGTCACTTTTCCCCAACTTACTACTAACATTATTGTTATTATTGTTTATGCAATAATCCTCTTTCTTACTGTAATAATCCACTTTTTTGTCTTTTTTCGAAACTTTATCACTAGCGAAATAATTGTCCAACTTTCCGTTCGTAGCGAAAAATAAGTTCTCCGAATAATAATTCATGCCGTGGTAACTACCGTTATTCGAATCGTTGGAAGCGCTCGAAGCTCCATCGACTTCCATTTCACACATTTGTAAAACTTTATGGTTTATTTATTGTTTATTCACTATCTAGCCACCTACGCTCTTACGTAAACAACAACGTTACAACTATGCAACTGGATTCCCTTGTTTGCGTAGCCTGCTGGGCTTTCGGGCGAAATGAGGGAGGGGCCTAAAGCTCGCCCGGCCAATCGCAAGCAAAGCTCCCGCGATCGCTATGCCAACTACCCTTATTTCTGGCCAATGCGGCGGTAGCGTTCCAAGACTTTGAGGATGAGATTTTGAAGGATGTTTTGCGAGAAGTTCCGTCTGATTTTCGTGTTTGACGAGCACTTTTTTGTGCCAAGTAGAAAAACGTTTAATTCAAAGTTGTCTTGTCTAAAAGTAAATGGAAAAGCTTTACTTAATTTAAGTAAATATGTTCTTAAACTCTCTATAGCTAAAAATCTAAAGTAGTATATTCAGGGTGCCTATTTAAAAACAAGCAATGGTCTATAAGTCTGGATCTTAAAAAAAAATCCCAGGGGTTGTAACAACTACAACTCATTTTTTTAAATGGCAATACCCTTTTTGTGATAACTCATTGGAAATCTCCTGAAAAGTGCTATTTAACAGTACCAAAAAATACTTTTTGATAGTTTAATTTTTGAGTAATACGCAAAATAATTTTTATAATTATTTATTCCAATTTCTCGTTATACCTAAATATAAAATTAAACCATTTTTTGTCGTAAAAACAAGTGTTTTGATTGTTGTTGAACAAGTTGTTTATTTAAGCTTTTTAGGTTTATCATACTTTTGTTATAATTATTTTGTGTAATACAGTTTTTTTACTAATGTTGTTACGGCAAAAAATGGTTTAATTTAATTTTTATAACGAGAAATTAAAATAAAAACTTATAAAAATTATTTTGCGTACTACTCAATTAAAAAGTATTTTTTTTACTCCCACCTTTAAAACGCCTTTAATCGTACATGTTTTCATGACACTAAGTGACCTTTTAAATACACATTGACAAGTTGTGGCTTTACGGCGCTTTAGTCACGGGCTGAAGTTAGTTTTAAGTTAGTTGACAGTTGTCAAATGTTATACTATCGTTAAAATAAAGTGCCTTTCTTGTAAAATAATACTAAATGTGAAAATTATTTTATTATTTCAATACAAAAATATTAAATAGTTTCGCAACGCCAATATATGAAAAGTTTATATGAACATTGTACTGACCTTTTAATTTCGCCGGCAGTAAACTATAACTTAAATTCGGGCACGGACTTCACTGTAAAGTCCTCATAAAACATTTCCTTTACTTTCATTGTGAAAAACTGTCAATTTTTAAGATACATTTCGATTTATAACCTTTAGGTATAATTGAGTTAATAAAATATAAAAATGTGACATTTGACAGTTCCCCCTGTTGTTTCATAGATGGCGCTCTATACAAATTTTTGATTTAAATCATTTTAAGATAATAATAAGTATTTGTCGTTGAAAAAGTATAGTATGCACCTCGTTTATAAACTTTTCTATACACTCATTAATTTAAGCACTCGCTCGCTCGTTCCTAAATTAAATTCGTGTATAAAATGGCGTTTATCAAACTAAATAAAAAGAATAAAAAGAACTTTCCAATGAGGTACTACAAAGATGGCGTTGCATTAAAAAAAAAATTAGTTGGTGTGGCTACAGCCCCAGGGTTTGCTTAGTGAAGGTAATTTTTGTCATTTGTATGTTTTACCTTCTTTTTGCAGTTTTGTTGCTCTGATGTAGGTATTTTAATTATGTTTATTAAACGTGATTTTTAGTATAGAAAATTACTTATAATAGGTTATTTTATTTTAAGGTATTTTTAATGGTAAATTTAACGTAAGTCCTATTTTTACTATATTAAAACCACTTTAAAGTAAATTTATAACAGTAAATTTCGTAATTGAACTTTTTAGAGTTTAAGTGGTATAAAAAAAGAAAAAAAAAGAAAAATAAATGAAAAATAAAACTAGTAAGAGTAATGAAGACGACATATTAAATTATATGGATGAATATACTGAAAATGATTTATTTTTATTTTTGATTGTTTCACTTTTAAATCCACCAGGTCTAGTAATAACATAACATAAGTGGTTCTGCACTAATGCAAGAATTTTAAGAAATCATACATTTTGAATATTAGAGCTTGACGGAAGATTTCTTCACGGAGGTTAGTATTTCATGTTTTTTTTTTAAATCCCTTTGTATATTTGAAATAAGTTATTGTATCTTTTGACACCTTAATATTTTTAAAAAATAAAATATTTTAAAAAAAAAATCTATTAACTGAGATATTACACTTCACGGTGGATAGGTATTTAAATTTGAATTATAAAACAGCAACACTCTCATCTGAATATTCTAACAGACCTTCAGGAATCACTTTTATCTATAATTTCGTAAGAGGTTTTTGCTTTTTTAAAATGATTAAATCGCCATCCGTTGCATTAAATTTAAAGCAAAAACAGATTCACGGAGGATAGAATCAATTTTTGTAACACCTACATAAATGGTTATAAAATTATTTCTTTTAATTTTTAATAATATTTTATATTTGATTCTATTGCTTTGGATGTGTTTAATTTACTTAGTGACTGATATTTTTAGTATGCTTTTACTACCTCAGATATTTAAAACATATAGGTTAACCCAGAAAGAGTAACCTCACGAACACACAAAAAAATAATCATTTACATTAAATAACCAACATTTCCATTAAATGTATGGCATGGTTATATATACGCAAGAATATTATACTCTTAATACAAATAAAATATAAGTTTACTTGTGTTTATTTATATCAAATCTATTATGTTTTGTTTAAAGCTACCAAATATTTAAAATAAATGTATTCGTTTACTTAAAATAAACTTTAATAGTTCTAGATTTTAAATTACGTATATTCTTGGGATAACTCTAAACAATATTTATTTTATAAATATCATATTTTGTTTGCAATCTAATATTATTGAATATTAATTAACATATGAATTTTGGACTTGCAGTGTCTTAATTTAATATTGGTTTGTTACAACCTTTCCATTAGCCAATATTTCTAATGGTCTTCTGGTACCTGACGATAATAAATAGTTTCTAATCAAAACGTTGCAACGCGTTGTAAGAAACCAATATTAAAATTAGACAATGCAATTCCAAAATTCACTTCTTAATCATTACCTATAGGTAACAATGTCTAAAACCTTTAAAAAACAATAATTTAGTTAGTATTTCTTCCATAACGGCACACAACACTTTACTAGTAAAGGTATACCTACTTTTACCTACTACCTACTTTTAATTGCGAATTGGGAGACAAAACTAAACGTTTTCGGACAACCAACGCGTTGCAACGTTTGCAAAGCTATGACTGGCTTTGGGCGGTACCTACTCTATGTTCGCGAAATCTAGCGTATTCTTGATTTAAGTAAATTACTCTTAATATAAAGAAAACGCAGCTTTGTTTAAGAATATATAATTTAATTGAATTTAATACAAGTTTAATTTAAATTTATTTTATATTTAAATAAAAACTAAATTAATTTACAATAAATAGGGAATAATTTTATATTTAAATGCAAGAAAATTTAAATGAATTAAATATTCTTAATCGTAATAGATAAATTAAACTTATTTCTTTCTAAAATTAAACTTAACAAAACTAATATTCATTATTCCATATTATAAATATTAGGCAACTATACTTATTTCAAATATACAAATTCAAAACTTTCGTTATTTTAAAATCAAACTATTATTTTTTTGTGTGAAGGATAGGTTTTAGACTTTTAAAAAATTGTAAAAAATAATTAATTACGGTTAAAAATCGAAATGATCAAAACACAATAAAAGTGTAGGTCAAACTCATTTAGTTTTATTAAATATATTTTATAAAAATTAATCATAACAAAATTATTTAAATTAAATGATTTTTAAATCTTTAAGTAAGTTTTTAGATGAATCTATTAATTAATAAATTTTTTGAAAAAGGTTTAGAAAGAGAACTAATGAATTAATTTTAACGTTACTTAACTATTTAATTTGTTTTTATTACTTTTTTCTTTTGGTCGCTTGAATAATTATGATGTTTTTAAAATAACGCATTAAACAATTCCTCATATTTTGTAATTTTTCGTATTATTACCGTTAATTTACAGTTAAAATAAAATGCTACTTGGGATTTTATCATCACCTCAATTTAAATTAAATATTATTCTTTTTATGATTTGGCAAATAAAATCTTTAGCCGAAAACTGAAGATTCCATATGTTGTTTCTGCTTCATTAATGAACTAAACGCTACAAATTATTTGAAAAGATCGCCCCACATGTGTCCAAAAATGAATCCTCAAACACGATGAAAAAATACCTAATTGATACAGATAAATGACCGATATAAATCACCGGTAAAAAACACGTGACAAAGGTGCATTTAGTCGAATTCCGCAAATGCCGATATCCATTTTAATATTTTTACGTGTTTCAGCAGGATCATGTTAACAAATAAACCGCCTTTTATGTCAAAGGTCATAAATATTCCGAAATTTATGGCCACCCAATTATGGACGAGGTTAGAGATCGATGGCGAGGGTTCGTTATAGTGTTCTTGTTTAAACGCATTAAAACTTCCGAAACACCTAATTATAACTTGGTTTTTTGGGGGTATCAAATTTATAGGGCCAACTAAAAAATTATAATTGATTGCCAAGTTGTCAAAATTATTAATTTATTTATTAAATGGTGTTTTTCTTTATTTGATTATGTAATAGTAAATTCATAAGTTTTGACAATTCGTTTTTTAATAATGTTTTAAAATAATAATTTAAAATTAGTAAAATAACGAAAGTATTTATTGTATTTTTTCCCAACATGAAGCAGAACAGCCAATTCAAGGCACTTTATATAGAAAAAAATGTAATCAAAAATTGATTTGACCTGTCAAAAATTGACAAAAGACATATTATGTATGTATTTAGAATTTTATTTTGAATCGAAATATGTAAAATGCATAGGGTGTTTTATTAAAAAGTGGCAAAAATATGTTAAATATGTCAA